CACCAGAGGAGGGTCCCGGGTCCAGGGGATTTAGGATCTGGGTGGCACGGAGGGGGCAGGAAACGTCTGCCTGAACGGGTGCTGCCCCGGCCCAGCCGCCCTCCCCTGCAGGCCGCTCCCGCGGCACCGCCCGGACCAGGGCGGGCCTTTTCTGCCCTGATCTCGGCCGTGCACGGGCAGTTTTAAGTCGAATGAGAAGCCGTTTTACCCTCTGATTGTGCAGGACTGAAGCATCACCGCTCCCAGGGGAGCCGAGGCGTAGCCGTGCACTATGGCCCTGGCGGGTCGCTGTGCCCGTCGGCTGCGTCCGCTGCTCCATAGCGTTCTCGCAGGAGCGGCCAGGCCACCCCAGCAGGTTCCCGCGGGCTGCTCGGCCCCGCTCCTGAGCGCCTCCAGGCAGCGCGGGGTCCGTCCGACAGTCCCGACCAGGCCTCTAGTAACCAAGAAGGGCAAAGGTAATCGAGCGATCCCCCTCCGTGAGAGTTTGCCGCCCCTCGTTACGTCTCCCCGCCTGCTGGAAAGCAAAGTTCGTGGTCTCGTCTCATTTTCTCATCCTGTTTTTTGGGAAATGCTTATTTTGGTGACCAGAAATCGCATTTTCCCTCCTCCCCCAAAAGACTCTCCAGTGTCAGTCTCTGTGTAGGATGTATTTAATTTAATTTAAAGGTCCCTGAACACTCTTGTTGCAACGAACGGGGCTGTTTGCCTGACTGAGGCAAGCAGGACTTGGCTCCTGGGCTGTGTCTAAACTGCAGCCGCAGCACGGACTGTGATAACACCAGGGTTAGCTTTACCTTGGCTAACTCCGAGGCTGCCAGCACAGAGGTCACGAAGAGCCAGTTCGCTAAGCAGAGCGCTCTGTATAAGTGTCCGGGAAGGAATTGCAGGAACAGGGCATAAATTAGCTTTCCTCCCATTCCAGGCTGGAGTTGGTATCGCAGCGCACACAGCATAACTTCCAAACGCATCTCGGGTCGTGTGTTCAAATGCTGAATTATTTATGCACGTGCAGTGTGCTTATGTCACTGTAGCCCAAGCACCGATTTGTTCCTTTCTGTTTTCCGATACAGCTGCTTGGTAGGAGACTCATGTTTGTTTGTAGCACAGAGATTAACTGCACATGCAATTTGCAGCTAAAGGCAAAGGGCAGTCCCAAGCCAGAGTGACCGTGGATGCTGCCTCAGTGGAGGGTGTCATCAATTTAGAGGAAGTCAATGCAGAAATGTTGTCGGTGATGGAGGCTCTTAAGGACGATTTCAGCAAAAACCTCAGTATCAGAACCTCGGCAGGTCAGTAGCTTCCTGGTGTAATTCTGTGCTCTCTGGGACTGAGCTGAACGAGCCTCCCCAGCGCAGAGCCGCGTCTTTAATTTCCTGCAAATTGATTTTCATCGTACGGAGTGGCTCACCAGGTACCGCATTACTCCACCTTAAACCCTCAGCTAAAGACTTTCTTCACCCTGAGCTTGACCAGGAAGAATCCATTTTTGTTAATAACTTCCTGAAAATGGCTTTTGTAAGTGGGAGATGTCAGAAATGTCTAACTGAACTGTTTGCAGATGTGATGAAGAAGCAAGCTGTCAGCTAATGGTGCAGTAGGGCAGGAAAAATCCAATTGCCATTAAATTAGCCTTTTGGAAATTGCCATCAGGTTGGTGTCTGGCATATGCAGACTTAACTCTGCAATACATATTTGTGGTTAGTGACTTTTACAAACCCTGTTCACTTAGCAAATTCTGTGCTTCGGGAAGGACCTGGATATATTTGACTAAGCTATGGTTACTATAACATGCCGAAGCCACGTGTGGATTCGTGTGCAGTATCCTGTTTCAGGAATAAAACT